AACAAAAGACACATTAATGGTTAAGGCCGACCTAATTGAAAAACAGAAGGAGGTTCCTAAAGTGAAGAAGGATTAGATCAATATTTCTTTGCTTATATGATTTATAATTTTTATTTTTAAAATAAGGCGCATGATGCCAATAATTGTAGTCACATTTATTTTAATAATAAAAGCATATTTATTTTCGCCTTAAAATAAAAATTACAATGACTTTATTTTAATATATATCCTAGTCAAGAAGTCGGACGCAATGGAAGAATAAAAAAAAACGTCAAACATATAGCATAATTCGCAAAGTCTGCGTCACTGAAAAAATCGCAAAGTCTGATATTCCCCGTGGTGCGGCAATTTTTTTTTTCTGGACTTCCACCGTGCCACGGTGGAGTTTCCCGTGGCGCGACAATTTGTTTTTTGGGTGTAATTCCACCGTGCCACGGTGGTAGCTGCCGTGACACGGTGGAATTCCCTGTGCCACGGTGGACCCTAGATGTTGAACTTGGCAAATATTCTTGATTTTAGCTCCATTTTGTCGTGGCGCAATGCTGAACTGGCGCGTGTACTTGATCAACGGAGGAAGGATTTTATTTTTTAAAGTGGTCGGGCCCCCTTGAGGGGTTGCCTACGTATCCTTATAAAGGAATCAGGCCAAACGTAGCTCTATTGAGTCATGAACCCATGCAACTAGGCCTAGAATTTCTTGAGTTGATCCAAGTTGGTTAAATTGTGGAAACCGTTACCGTCCATGTCTACCAATTGTGCCACTCCGCTAGACAAGATGGATTTAACAATGTACGGACCTGACCAATTTGGTCTGAATTTTCCTCTTGGATCTAACACAATTTTGCGAAGTGCCTTAAGCACCAAGTCACCTTCCTTGATGTTCCTAGTCTTGTCTTTTTCTTGAAATGTCGCGCCATACGCTGATGGTAGGTTTGGACATGATGCAAAGCTGCCAAGCGTTTTTCGTCAAGTAATACTAGTTCATCATATCTTGCTCTAATCCAGTCGACTTCATTTAGTTGGCTTTCCAATGCGATTCGGAGAGAAGGGATTTCGAGCTCTATTGGCTGTACAACTTCAACTCCATAGACCAAAGAGAAAGGGGTAGCCCCCGTTGATGTACGAACATAGGTTCGATAACCCCAAAGGGCGAAATGTAGCTTACTTGGCCAATATTTGTAATTTTCCGTCATCTTTTCGATGATAGTTTTCACATTTTTGTTGGTCGATTCGACCGCACCATGTGTTTGTGGCCTGTAGGGTGATGATCTGTGATGCTTGATATGATATTTCTGTAATAGTTCTGCGCACTCGGCTTGGAAATGCGTTCCATTATCACTGATCATCTCATGAGGTACCCCATAGCAGCATATGATATTTTTCTTAATAGATTGAGCTATATGTTTTGTTGTTAACTTTGCATATGAGGCAGCTTCAACCCATTTGGTGAAATAGTTGATTGCTACGAGGATGAATTCATGCCCCCCTTGTCCTGGTGGCGTTGTCTTTCCAATGATGTCGATACCCCAAGCAGAGAAAGGCCCTGGAGAAGTATATGTATAGAGAAGCGAAGGTGGAACGTGCTGTAAATTTGCATAGATTTGACATTTCATACATTTCTTGACGTATTCGTGACAATCTCTCTCCATGGTAGTCCAATAATAACCTTGTTGTTGAATCTTCTGGACTATCATCTTAGCATTCATATGCGTTCCACATATGTCGGCATGAAGGTTTTCCATGGTTTTGTGTGCTTCTTTCTTGGCTATGCATAAGAGATTTCTCCCTAGTGCAGTCCTCATGTGGAGTTCTCCTATGATGAGCACATACTGTGAGGCTAGGAGCCTCAAAGCACGACGTGCCCTTTTATTAGTATTAGGAGGGTATTCTCCCTTTATCATGTAGTTAAGGATATCTGTATACCATGGCTCTTCATCTTCTTCTTGTGATTCTTGTTCATCATCAAGTGCGTGCACATAAGCCGGCTCATATCTTCTTTCTATGGTCAATGGCATTCTGATTGTGTTTGTTGGAATTCGCACCATTGATGCCAATTTAGCCAGTGTGTCGGCAAACTGGTTTTCTTCTCTAGGGAAGTACGTATATTCCACTTCATCTAGTTGCTCCGTGAGAGTTTCCAGATGAGCATGACACGTAGCGAGACTTTCACTTCTCAACTTCCATCTCTTGGAGATGTGGTTAATAATTAGTGATGAATCACCGTAATTGCTGAGCTTCTTGATTCATAAGGCCACAACTGTTTCTAATCCCAAGATGCATGCTTCGTACTCTGCGGCATTGTTGGTGACATCAAAGTCGAGCTTCATGGAAATTGGGACACGCTCTTCATTGGGTGATACAAGCAAGACTCCTGCACCACAACCCTTTTGGTTTGAAGCTCCGTCGAAATAGAGCGTCCAGCTATCGACTTCGGTCATGAGTAAATCTTCGTCAGGGAAATCATACTCATCTTCTTCTTTTTCAACTTCTTCTAGTGGAAAATCTTCGGTCATGAGTTTCCAGATGAGCTTGATACTCATTAACTTATTTTTCACCTTTGATGGCTTTTTGTGGTACAAATTTCAAGTCAAACTGTGCAAGGTTGACTATCCACCTTGATAATCTACCATTGAGTGTTGCTTTTTCGAACAAGTACTTGAGAGGATCCATTTTGGACACAATATGCACTGTATGAGTGAGCATGTAATGTCTTAATTTCTGTGCGGCCCACACAAGTGCGAGACACAACTTTTCAAGCAGTGTGTATTGTGTCTCATATCCTTGAAGCTTCTTGCTCAAATAGTAAATTGCATTCCCCTTGCTTTCGATCTCTTGTGCTAGCATTGCCCCCATCATTTCTCTTGTGACCGTAAGGTAGAGTCGAAGAGGAAAGTCAGGCATTGCTGGCGCTAGCACGGGTGGGTTTGCCAAGTAGTCTTTGATTTTGTCGAAAGCTTTTTGGTAATCATCATCCCATGTGAATGGGACATTTTTCTTAAGCTTCTTGAATATAGGTTAACATATCGCAGTGAGTTTTGATATGAACTTACTTATATATTGCAGCCTTCCAATAAAGCCTCAAATTTCTTTCTCATTCTTGGGTGGTGGCATGGCCATGATCGCTTTGACTTTTGTGGGATCTATTTCAATCCCTCGAGAACTGATCACATATCCAAGTAGTTTGCTTGACGTGACTTCAAATGCACACTTTGCAGGATTTAATCTCATGTTGTACTTGCGGAGTCTTTCAAAGAACTTGCGAAGTGCAATGATGTGGCCTAGGCGATCTTTTGACTTGACGATCATATCATCAACATAGACCTCCACCTCTTTGTGCATCATATCATGTAACAATGTTGTGGCTGCTCTTTGGTAGGTGGCACCCGCGTTTTTCAACCCGAATGACATTACCGTATAGCAATATGTACCCCATTGTGGGATGAATGTGGTTTTTTCCATGTCTTCCTCAGCCATTAATACTCGATTATATCCGTCATAGCCTTCTATGAACGATAGGAGTGCATGGTTTGCTGTGTTATCGACCAGAATGTCAATGTGAGGTAGAGGGAACCCATCTTTCAGGCGTGCCTTATTTAGGTCCCTGTAATCAACACACATTCTGACCCTTCTATCCTTCTTCAGAACTGGAACCACATTTTCCATCCACTCTGGATACTTGGATACTTTGATGAAACCTGCAGCCAATTGCTTTCTGATTTCTTCTTTGATTTTGAGAGCCATATCCGGTTTCATACGGTGCAACTTTTGTTTGACAAGCTTCATACCTGAATGAGTGGTATCTGTAGGCGTCGTTCGAAGTGCGCCTACGTTAAAGCATGTGATGAATATGCTTGGCACTCATAGGAAGTGGGAACTGACATTACGATTAGGGACAACGATTAGGGACAAAGCAAAGTAAGAAGCCGCCAACAAGTTTTTAAGGAACTTAGAACTTGTAAACCGTTCACGGATCATAAAAAGGCAACCACGATAAGGGACAACAATAGACAACAACGATTGACTCGTGAAGGTTACACCCAATTCATAATCCATGAGATTACTAACTCCATATGGTTCGGAACCATGAAAGGAGGATTGGGGATGATAGTACGAAGTGAGTCATGGAGTCACATTCGCCCGTATTGGCCTCTACTCGATTCTTATAGTGAAAAGTGATTCCTGCGATCTCAAAGGCATACAAACAAAATATTCAATTTGCTCCAAACTATTATTAAGCTAAATTGGTTTAATATTAATGCAACACATTATTCTAAAATATTAGTGATCACTTGATTTAATAACAAGATTAAAAGGAACCTAAACCAGTTGTCCAAATTATCTTATTAGGCGTTATTTTCAATTACATATTCCCTTTAAACATGCAATATGGTGATCATAAATAATAATAGAGTAAACATTAATATTGGAAGTAATTTAACAATAATAGCGTTAGTCAAATCAAATATAAAATTAACCTAATCATTATACTAGAAATATTAAAATAAAAATAAGTAATTAAATTAATTACTCACATTCCGCGCGTTCCTTTAAATTGCTACATCATGAATAAATTGTTAGTAACTTCAATAAAAAAATATTAATCAAATAGAAATTAAATTAAATTACTTCCTCCGTTACGCATTATGTACAACAAAGTTGCTTGCACAAACTCCAAGAAGAAATTTGTTAAGTGTAGATTAGTTTATGAGAGAGAAAACACCAAATTTAAAGTTTGGCTCCAATAGCCATATTAAGTTCCAAAAGAGCACTATAAATACACTACTACAGTCAAGGAAATTCTCTCTCTCTCTTCATAAATTAAAACCACCATAAATACACTACCAAGTTAGAATTAAATACAATCAGTTTACAATATACAAAATCAACATAATAATCATGGTTTAGTGGGTGGTCAAAGCAGCATCATTTGAAGGGTCAAGCTTCAGCACGTATTTGTGTTCTTTAGTTCATCAACTGCAAAAAAAAAAAAGACTAAAAAAATGGAAGAAGAAGATTTTGATCAGTTTTATGGGTTGGATCAATTATTGATGGAAGAAGTGGGATTACAACATCAAGATAACAACACAGATGCACAAAATGTGGCACAAGTCAGTAGTAGAAAGCAGCTTACACTGAATGGGAAAAGAAGTACTGTTGATGACATTTTATCAACACTACAAGATGATAATTTTACCAAGAGGTGCACAAACCAAACTAGCAAGAAAACATGGTGTTCACAGAAGCACAATCAACAGAATTTATGCAGATGTAAAGAAACAAAAAGAGAAGGGGGAGCTGATAGATGTCAAAACCAAAAAATTGGACAAAACTGGTCTTAAACTAAGGGAGTTCTCTGATGAATGACTGCAATCATTTCCACTGAGGCTAAGAACAACAAAAAGAAAATATGCAGCAGCCTTAAAGGTATCCCATGTCACCATTCACAGGCTGAAAAAAAGAGGGAAACTCAGAGTGCACACTAGCACCAACCATCCAGCTTTAAGTGATAACCATAAGGTGGAAAGGCTGCAATGGGTATTAAGCCATCTGACCCCTGCTACACCAACTCAAAATGCAACATTTGAGGACATGCATCATGTCATCCACATTGATGAAAAGTGGTTTTATTTGAGCCCGGAAACAAGGAAGTTCTACTTGTTACCAAAAGAAGAAGACCTACACAGACTTCAACAATCCAAAAGGTTTAAGATTAAGGTCATGTTTATGGCAGTCATTAGACACCCAATTCGTGGCAGAAATGGTGTTGTCATTCATGATGGAAAATATGGGATTTTCCCATTTGTGGTCAAGGAACCAGCTAAGAAATCAAGCAAGAATAGGCAAGCAGGGAATCTTGTCATAAAAGCAATTCAAAATGTGAATAAAGATGCAATCAGGGAAATGCTCTTCAACAAAGTCATACCAGCCATCATTTCAAAGTGGCCCTCATGCATGGATAAAAATATATGCATACAATGGGACAATGCAAGGCCACACAAAATCCCCCAAGATGAGGAGTTTCTGGCAGCAACAACACAACAAGGGTTCAACATCACAATGAAGTACCAACCCCCTCAATCCCCTGATCTTAATGTTTTAGATTTGGGTCTTTTCAACACAATCCAATCAATTCAATATGAACATTTTCCAAACAATGTGGATGAGTTAACTGAGAAAGTTGAAGAGGCATTTACTACATTTGATGCTAATGCAAACAAATACATTTGGCTATCATTGCAAAGTTGTATGACTGAAATTCTGAAGAAAGATGGTGGGAATAATTACATATTGCAACATATGAAGAAAAGATTATTGGACAGACAAGGGATTCTTCCAGAGAGGTTGGAAGTACCATATGAATTGGTTCAATCTGCTGTGAAGTACCTGAATGATAGGTTCAGGCCTTCACAGTACATCAACAAGAACCAGTTAATGAACATGAAATGGAAGTTGATGCAGATTAGGTGCAAGACAGTGTGTTATGGGGCAAAGTAAGTTTTTGGATTTAGGGCCTACAACCAGACTCCCACACATAACCATATGTAAGGGACTCAAACACACTTGTGGTTATGTGTAACTTTTGAGTAGTTCTTTTTTTTTTGTCCTTGTTTAATTTGTGTGTCAATGTATTTCATGTGAGTCTGGCAGTTAGAATAGGTCCCTTTTGTAAGGCAACTATGGTGTATCACTTGAAAAGAATGAATCATTCAATGAAAAACTTTTGAGTTGCTAATATTATTGCATTGTGTGTTTGAAATAAGGGTTCAAAAACTATGGTGTGAACATTCCATCAGAAGGTTTACAGTTTAATCACCACATACAAACCAAATATGGTTTCCTCAACACCAATGTCATACAACATAGGTGGAGCAAATCCATAATGCAATATGTTGATCATGTGAGTCCCTTCATCATATGGACCAAACAATGCAAACCTAAATGAAATGAGGGGGACTCTATACATAGGGTCCAAAAAGACTCTAATTCAGTGGAACATGATGCACATATAGTGATCTCTCAATAGTGATCATTGAGATCACAGCCCAAAAAAACCATAAAGTCATCATTCACCCATCAGCAAACCCTTCAAATAGCTAGGGACTCAAAACACAACCATAGGCAACAGGGTACCAACAACACCATCAGCAGGATACCAACAACATCAGCAACAGGATACCAAAAAAAAACAGGGTACCAACAAAATCAGCAACAACATCAACATCAACAACTAGGGACTCAAAACAATACACCCAACAATAACATTGGGTGATTGCAGATATGCATTCATACAGGGACATTAATCAGCCAACAATAATAGTTGCCAACCCACAATAAAAGCCAACAATACCAGCCAATAAAAGGGAAATTCAACAAGGGACTCAAAACAGTACCACCGAATAATAACAGTTGCCAACCAACAATAAAGCCAACAAATAATAATAGTAAACAAACAATATTAGCCAACAAAGAATAAAAGCCAACAAAAGCAGAAAAACAGCTAACAAACAATATCACCCACCAAACAATACCAGCCACCAAACAACACCAACCAACCAAAAATAACAGCCAACCAACAACATCAGGCCACTAATAAGAACAAGCAACCAACAACAAGAAGCCACCAACCTGTAACAAGCAACCATTCACCAAATTTCTCCAACAGTCACCAAACAATTATTTTTCTTACTCATTACTTAAAGCGATGCTTACTCACACATAAGTTTAGGGTCAATTCTTCCAAAGATACTAACCATATAATTTAATCACTTTAATATGTCATATACACATAATTAGTAGGTGTATGAAGCTATAAACATAATTATTGATTAAAATATTCTATTATAGTTTAATCACTTTTATATGTCATATACACACAATACATGATTAAGTCCTTGATTCGTAACTAAGACAAGGAAACATCAATCATTTAACAAACAATATGCTATTATGTCTCTTTGTTCCACCATTTTTTTATTTAATAAAAAATGTAAAACTAATGAGATATTGACATTACATAGTGCCAGACTTTCAATCAAATATGCAATCCAACAATAGGCATATTATTTCATACAGAAGCAATGCAAGAATATTTCAATCATACAGATTATTTTACCACAATATAAATTCCAACAATAGGCAGATTATTTTACCACAATATAAATTCATACAAAAGCAATGCAAGGATATTTCAATCAACTATGAAATCCAAAAAAAAAAAAAAACTGGGCAGATTATAAATTAAAAGCAAGATCATAGATAACAGTAACCAATTAACTCCAACACAAACCAATTTCAGTAATTAAATACGCTGCACAGTAAAATAAAAAGAAGATTAAGGTTAAGAAACCGTTACGCTGCACGCAATCAGTTGGAGGGATGAAATTTGCGGTCCAGATCTTTTACAAATTCAAAGTAACAAGGATCAAATTTCTCCTCATCAACGACAATCCCAGATCGAACCCTCTTGGAGCCGAGTTTGGCCTCGTCAGAAGGGAAAATCATCTTGGGGGGAGGGTCGGACATTTTGAAGCCTTACAAATCTTCTTCCTCTGGAGTTTGATCTGGTTTTTCAGCCACTGTTGAAGTTTCATCTTCCTCAGCAAGTTTCGCCCCTTTTCCCCTTAATCTCCTCATCACATCACAAGAAACCCTTTTCAATTTTTTAGCCGTAGGTTTTGGCCTAGGCAAAGTCTTCATCCAAGCACGGTACTCAGCATCATTCATATCATCGACACCATTTTCTTTGTCCTCAATTGATTTAAGGACCGTACCAAGAGCTTCAAAAGATTTCTCAGATAACACCTTCTTAGCTTCCTCTGATTTGTAAAAACGCTTGGGTGAAGAAGATTTACCCTCCAATGACTTCAAAAGTTTTGCCATGACCTTCATTTCATGGTCGTCCTCACTTTTGAAAAAGGCATCGTACATAGGGGTAAGATCTGCCATATTTAGGGACTCAATTTCAGATCTGAGTAAGAACAGGGAAGAACGAGTACTGTATTTAAAGAGCGAGAAAGGAAAATTAAAGAGCGAGAAACAAAACTGAAGAGTGAGAAACGAAATGGGTGGAGAAGATGAACAGTTGAAGCAAATCGGTGAGAAGAGGGAGAAAGAAGGGTTTCTGGAATTATGTGGAAAAAGTTAGGGTTTGATGAATGTGGGATGCATATGGGTTTTGATGATTGAATCCGATTTGGTTAGGTGGGGATGAATTAATTTTGGTGGGAATGATTAAGGATAATAAGATATGTTATAATTTAAGTAAATCTAATTATGAAAATTGATTGTATTTAGTGAAAGTTAAGTGAGGGCAAAAATGTAATTTCACTAAAAAAAACTTACTCAAAAAGGAAATTTATCATTTGTTGCACATAATGTGTAACATTCGTTTTTAGTAATTGCTGCACATAATGCGTAACGGAGGAAGTAAATAAAAAGTAGAGTTGATTTGGTCCAAACCCTTAGTTACGTGTACCTTTCACGCCTTGGTTTAAGGACGGAACCTCAGGTTAAGTATGGACTCCTTGGAGTGCTTAAGGGAAGAATGGTGTAATTAGGAATATAGATTTAAAGCTTAGAATATGGGAGAGAGAGAATATGATGATTTTTTGGTGTAAAAGAGAGAAAGAGAGAAGGATTTCATGCCCCGAATTGCAGAAATGAGGTCTTATTTATAGGAAAATTGGGTATAGGGAACATGCGGAACCCTAAAAGGATAAAAACCCTAAAAATTAACACTGCGACATGGCAGAAAACACCATGACACGGTGCCAGGCACCGTTAGATGGGGGAAGGCACCGTCAGAAGGGGGAAAATCCCGTGACGCGATGGACACTGTAGTGACACGAGAAATATTTGACCTACGAGAAGTGAAAACGCGTGAAGGGTTTACGCGGAAAAGACACGAGAAAATTCCGTGACACGGCACACGTATCGTGACAAAATAGTGTCCACCATGGCATGATACAGTACGCCGTTTCACAGTATGGGAAAACGCGGAAATTACACGGAAAAAGCACCATGACACGGTGTGAAATACCGTGTCACGGCAGCAGGTACCGTGTCACGGCAACAGGTACCGTGCCACGGTGGAATTTGACGCGAAAAAGCTTCAAAAATGGCACCGTGACACGATGTATAGTACCGTGTCATGGCACCAGGCACCGTCAGACGGGGCACACTCCCGTGACACGGTGCTTTTGCACTGTGCGCGGTGATTCTAGTTTTTTACCCGTTTTTAAAATCATCATAACTTTTGATCCGTAAACTCAGAATAAGGTATATAATATATCACTGGAAATATTATCAAGTATACTTTCCAATCAAATTAAAATCAGGTAAAAATAATTTGTAGAGTTTAAGATATGTCCGTTTTAGTGAAAGGGTGTCGGCTTGTGGCCGAGTTTAGTGTTTTGCTCATATTTTTTTCGTTATAGCTCGGAATTGGGCTTATGATATATGGTTGGAAAGATATTTCAAGGCCTATCCAAAAAATAATAATTGTATCAAAATTATATATCCATAAAATCAGTTTCTCTCGGTTTTGTGATGAGGACACGAAAAGTGGAAAATAGGTTATGGTTTAGGGAAATGAGCTAGAAATTGGATTGGTTCATGAAATATATTGGATAGAACATGGATTTAAGCACTCCAAAGATTAAATACTCAACTCGACCAATAATGGCGGTGAAAGGTGTTCATCGTCGGGTTTGGTTTTGGGGAGACATTTTTAGGTTTCTATAGTATCGTATGCTGAGCTATATCCCTGTCAATTCCTGGCATATCTGGGTATGACCAAGAAAATACATAAAAAAATTCACTAATCAAGTTAATTAGCTCTTTGCGTTCGTCTTGACTTAGTGTTAATCCAATTTTTACTTCTTTGATAGTCGTATCATTGGAAATATTAACTATTTCCGTATCTTCAATAATTGTTGTTTTATTTTCGTGTTCTTCCATTGCTTTTATTATTTCTTTGTCATTTTTATCATTCGCAAAGAAATATTGATCAGGGTTAGGGGAAAGACACACATCTTAAGCAAAGGTACTCATTTCATTGAATTCTTTGGTCATTACATCAAGGAGGGCAAGGTCAACTGCGACCTCACCAGAATTATTTGGGATAGAAAGAGGAGAATCAAAAAGAGTTTCAGGATCAGACTCTATAACAGAAATAGGGTCGGCCTCAGACTCGCCTACAGACTTAGACTCAGACTCAGACTTGGACCTAGACAACTCAGAGTCATCAAACATAGGACCTTCGCCAGCGGTTACTTCCAACTTCTCTCCATTTGGTGTAGTGATCTTCACCGTCTTGCGCCATCCCTTTGAAACATTATCAGCCTGGACGATTAGCTCAGAGGGGTCAAAATCCTTGCTCGATATGACAGCTTGAATGAGCTCGGAATCATCATTGCAAAAAGGCTTGGATTCATTCTTTTCTAGTCCAAAAAGAAGATTAATGTTCAAATCATCAGAGCTTGAACTAGCTGGTT